GGGGGGGGGGGGGGTGATTGGGGTATTACAATAAACTAGCTTTGGCTTTTTTTTAAGGCTAAGTGAACAAAAGCTTTTAGAACATGTACTGAAAATTTATTTTACTGAGAATTATATTGCTGAAATTACTTTGTTCTAAAGCTCTGCTCTACTAGTCTTATGTGAACTTTAAAAATACTACACAAGTGGTCAGAGATTTATTTTCTGAACTGCTACTAGATTACAAAGTACTGGGCATTACTCCTTCTCAAAGTCTCCAGTAATCCATTAGTAGTAAAACAGCACACTACTCTGGAATATGTCATTACAAATTTAGCGGCGTGCAGGGCGCATACCATGTGTAACTTAGTATCTTCTACTATACCTATGTGCAGAGAAAAATTATGTGCAAATAACATTCTTTAGTCTTTAGAAAAAGCATCCTTTTAGCTGAGTCTGTAGTTCCCACTTAAAAGTTCTCTTCTTGCATAGGCACTATTAAATTGCTTGTTCATCACCCTTATGCTTCTTCACAAGGGTAAAGTTGTAATAACTCTTGCTTGCTGCAGTGGGTAGCAGCAGGAGTAAGTCTGTTTCCCACTTTCAGGATGCTAGTCACTTCTACCTTTCTGAAAATTGATCATTTTCAGAAAAGGCTTGGTCCCCTTTTCTTTGATCCTGTGCCTTCTTAGGTAGAGAATTCTGTACCTCTGAACTTCATTATAAAACATCAGATCTTACCTGTTCAGTGACAATTTTAACTCCCATTGATTGCCACTGCCAGTACCTGTTCTGATCATGGAAACTTTGTGCAAGTTAAGGGAGATTTGACTAAGTTTATATTTTTCTAATGATTATCTGTTGTAAAAATGTATGGTCTTGGGAGCAAGCAAGACTCACTTTTGGATGAGTGATCTAGGTGCTGAGTCAGACTGGTGATCCTTCTCTCTGACTGAATGAATCTTTATTTCTTTTCTGTTCAGAGGCTTAGCTTTACCAGAGGGTGTGAACTATGTGCTTTCACAGCTCATCCTGCAGCATAAAACAGGGAATGTGAGCTTTAAACTGAGAAAGAAATAGAATCCAATCCCCCTCTCACTCCCTAAGGCAAGTTAAAAAAAAAAAAACAAACAAAACAACCCACCACCCAAAAACCCCTCATTCTCTTTATTTCTTTGAGAAGTGTGGCCCAACTCTTAATCTTAGTAGTTGAAATAGTCTGTGTTAAAAGAAGTTTGGGTGAAAATGAGTGCTTTTCTGCAGTTTACCTAAACACCATATGAGCGGAATTCTAGCTATGCTTGTGGTGAACAGGCTTAGTGAAGGGAGCTGTCACACTCAGCATGTTGGGTATAGATCCTGTTTGACACCAAGTTCCCTACATGTTGTACAAGAAATTTAGGCAACTAATACAGAGCTTTTGGACTAAAAGTGGTAGGGGGAAGAGGTCAGTGGGCACCCAAAGTTTGGCAAGGCCATGCTCCACATAATTTGTAAACTTCTTTGTAGGCTTATGCTTTCATTTTTGGAGGTTACTGAGCCACAGACCTTGTTCAGAAGGTCAAAGTTAGTCTCTGTAGACTAGTTCTCTCCAGAATATAAAATACTGTTTCTGACAAGTAATGCATTTCCAGTATATAAGTTGACAAGGAGATGCATGTGTCTTCCTTTTTTTCTGATGGCCATTTAACGGCTGATCTGCTAACCGCACTAGATGACCTACTTGCCTTTGGCCTCTCTTGTTCCAGCAATAATCTCTCAGACTTTTTGAGCAGTCAGTCACCATTCTGTGCTATGGAAGCCAAAGCCGACCTAAATGCGTTGATGGAGGATCATGGTAAGAGGTCAATTTGCCAGTAATTCAGTGGAAGTCACCTTTTGGGGGGTGGGATGGGTTTTTCTTTTGAGGGTATGAATTCAGCTTCACTGCCACATTCAGTCCTCTTATGGTCTTTCCTGTTAAAAGCCTTGTCCTTAGGATGATTCACAGAAACTGAGACAATCTCCTTTACTACTTGTGTGATTCTGGCTGACAGTCTTACAACGTGGTTGGGGTGTTTGGTTTGGTGTTTTTCCAGCTCCATCACTCTTCTCATCCCCATGTGATCTTAAGATAGATCAAATACTCTTCTAGACCCAAAGCTGATCACTATACTGTCAGGTACATGAAGTAGTGTAAGAAGATTATCCAATAATGCAAAATCCTTGGAAACCATTAAAACACCTGCCACAGTCTTGCGTTCTTGATTAAAAAGGTTTTGATAGGGTTGGCCCAGAATAATTTGAGCCTTGTCTGTATCAAAGATTGTGACATATGTAAACTTAAGACTCTGCTTCCATTCAATAAATACTGTCAAAGTAAATCTTACATTACTGTTTAGACAGTTGTCCTCTGCTTGTGCTGTGTTTATCACTTCTGGGGAATTTATATGCCTGTACACTGCTTAGAAGAACTCTGATGTCAGCAACCCTCATTAAAGTTCTGGACTATTGGCTGAATCTTTGCTCTTTTGTTGATAGCCCTTGCTTCCTTGTGTTTATATCATTTATATAAGACACAGTAGTGCTGAGAGAGTTCTGAAAGGTCTGATAGTCCTGAAATTTATTTTAAGTAGCGTGTTTTGTATTCTGCCTACCATCCCTGCTACTAGGAAAAGAAAATCCCTGTATTATGTTGATTAAATGAAATTGTGCATAAGCTTCTGTGGCTGTTCCAGAGGTTGAGCTATTGTCTGACACTGTATTCCACTCCAGTAATCTATGCATGTTGCTTTTTTAAGAATTAACTGTACTCTCCAAACCCCTGGTGTCATTGTTAGCCTGCTTCAATAATATGTCAGCTTGGGATTGACAAGGCAGTGATTGTGGAAAAACACACTAAACTCTGCTAAACATTACCTATTGCGTTTAGCTACCAGAGCTCTAGCAGATTGAGAGCAATACTATAATAGAACTGATGTTGACTGATGCAGCAAATACCATTCATTCTTTCCAGTAGCCAGTGGGGATGCTGCTGTCAGTAACTCTAACAATTCAGTCCCCACTGATATTTTGCTTGAGGTTCCCACATTAGACCTGGTCACTGAACAAGGTAACAATCACTTGGATGCCATTTCAGTCCTTGTTTCTTAATTGAAAGTCTGTCACAGATTTTGTTGTTGTTGTTGTTGTTGAAGGAAATGTTGATAAAGTAAACTCTTGTTATGGCACAGTTGTTAATATGTAACCCAAATAGGATTTACTATTAAAAAAAAAAAAACTGGCATGGTTTACATGGGTCTTACAGATGGTATGATGAAGAATTAGTTACTGCAGTGGTAGGGAGCCTTTGTTCCCAAGGAATGCTTAACAGTGATGCTTTTTTTTAATCAGCCCTTCATGTCTGTTCCCTCTCTAGTCTTGCTAGGGAATGTTATAAGTGGTGCTCTTACCTTAGTTGATTCCAGGAGCAGGATTTCCTCCTGCCTGGCTGCTGGAGCCCAGCCTAGGTTGTCCAAAGGGCTGAGTCTTTGTCCAGGCCAGGCTCATGGATGTAACTGCTGCTTTCTTACTTGGGATTTAATTGATAGTGAGGCTGGGCGTACACAAACACATAAAATACTGACAGAGCCGATTACACAGATTGCTATACACCATGTGCTGTCTTCAACACCCACATAAAACACTGTCAGAACTTGTATAAAATATAAGTATAGACAGCCAAGTCTCCTTCCTTCTCTTCAGCTGATCAGAATTGAACTTCATTAGTGAAAACACACACTCCCTTCTGTAGCTTCCAGTCCCATGCGTGTTTATGAATCCCTCAACTATCAGTACAACCCTTACTGTGTGTAATGCCCCTCTTTGCTCCACAGGTCTCCTACTCACCAGGTGGGCTGGGTTAATGCACAGTAGCAAACAGATGCATGTACTTGTCTGCACACCTACATGAATGGATTCCCTCAAAGACCAGCCCTCTCCCTGTCAAAAGTCACTGCCTGGGCCACCTATTTGCTGTCTGGACCAGCTTGAAGTTTGCTAGTGCATTATACCCATGCACACCTGCCATGCATACCATGTTTGAGGGAAATGCAAACCTGGCCCACCCCAACAGTTGGAACCCAGGCACATAGACCTTATGACCTGTGATTCCCACTCCAGTTGCTGGTGCTGAGAAGCCCTTACTCTGCTTCTCTCATCCCAGTTCTCCCCTGTAGCTGGTACCTGTAAACAAGTGACTGAAGCCTCTGACTCATGATCCAGCTTCAGTGGCTGCAGCAGAGACCCTTATTTGCCGCAGTTGCTGGCACTAGGGATGCCTTCACCCACTGTCCAACTGCAGTTGCTGGCCCAGAATTAGTTCACACTGGTCCCCCCACAGTAGCTCCAGATATGTGCTTCTAAGACCTGTGCACATGTTCCTAGGATCAGCAGTTCCCTTTCCAGCTGCTGCTGCTAATACTCTCCTTTCCTCCAGTTGGTGGCACTCCAGGCCAAAGGGCAACTTCATCCCTTGTTTGCCTCTAGTTGCTGGTGTGTAGTCATCGGAGCACACATGCACATGTGATTGAGAGCGAGCTTGCATAGAAAGACAGTTAGGATTTAGTAAGAAGGTAGTATACGCTGCAGTGAGCAGGTGCAGTGCTTGGTCAGACAAGCATAGTGACTGGCAACTGTTTGTGCAACTGGCCCCCTTGATATCCTTTTCTATACTGCCCTGCTTTTGTTCCTCCCAGTTACTCTTCTAAACATTCCTCGATAAGCAAGGCCTCTCTTGAATATCCACAAGCATCATGTTGTTCTTGTTTACCACTTGTTAGCAGTTACAACATCCAGACCGCGCCTCTGAAGCTATGCCTGAAATTTCTTAATAGCCCACCAATCAGCAACTGGGGACTTTTGGTCTTTGTCATTGTCTCTGTTATCCTATGTCTATCAGGTTTATGGTTCCATTTGTTTATGGTTTCACGTTTTATTTATTCCCCCTATTCCTTTGCTTGTTCCTCTCAGTTTACTTATTATTTTGCACTGAAAGGTTTTTGATTGGATAACCTTAATAAAGCAGATTTTCCTTTGTCTTCTTTTCCACATAAGTATTTAAATTTGGTTTTGAGCTGATCAGTAGCACTGAACTTCCTCTACAGCATTTATGAAATTAAATGTCATCCTTTTTTTTATTGCAAATAGGTACATGGCACCTGAAGTTCTAGATGATTCCATAAATATGAAACATTTTGAGTCATTCAAACGAGCAGACATCTATGCAATGGGATTAGTGTTTTGGGAAATAGCTCGGCGATGTTCAATCGGTGGTACGTGGCAATCTTTACAAAATTGGACATACTAAGGAATTATAAGTAACTTACAGAACCTGAATAAGTTTGAGTAAACGGTTTGCTCAAAAGTGGTGCAAGGTAATAGCCAGTATGTTTCAGATTTTCTGTTAGTCCTGTAAATGATGACTGGTTTATTCAACCTCTTTGTAAACTGATAAACCATACCTGTTGAAAAACATAGGAAATACTCTTGTTTGTATTAATTTTTTCCTAAAACCTTTACATAAAAGGGAGGAAAGACTGAAGATAAATGTCCTTGAGATCAAAGAGCCAACACTACAAGTAAGGGCTAGCTATAATGTGTTCAGATAATGTCTATACCTTACTTAAAATAAAACATGCTTTTATAAATCATATGCTTCCAAACCTTTAGTATATCATATAAAAGATTTGACATAGCTTTGACCTTTTCCAAATATATACATTTCAAACTTAAAAATTTTTCAAAGCTAATGTAAATACTCCTAAGGTATGGTTAATGCTTTTTTTTTTTTTTTAATATATTTGTCAGTCATTGTAACATTTTTAAAAATGGAAACCAAAAAAGAAAATGGTAGAGTATTGATAAGGAATGTGGTAAAAAGTGAATATGTAATTTAGTGTTAGCTAAAATAAAGCTATTTTCAACCTATTACAGGAATCCATGAAGATTACCAGTTGCCATACTATGACCTTGTTCCTTCAGATCCTTCTGTTGAAGAAATGAGGAAAGTTGTGTGCGAGCAGAAGTTAAGGCCCAGTATTCCAAACAGATGGCAGAGCTGTGAGGTATTAACTAATCTTGCTAAAGCTACTTTATTGGACACTAGAGCTTTTATTGATTTCAGCGGCTTAAAAATTGTGCTTGTTGTTGAAGGGAGAAGGGTACTTCTTGAAGAACTGAATTTCATTTTGATCATTGTGGCTTTATTGAATGTCATTGATCCTTGGTTATACATTAATATTTAATGTTGTTTCATACAAATTAATAGCTAACCCTGGATGGAGGATTCTATGATCCCTTCCTGTGAGGCATAGGTGATGCTAATGTGAGCTAAAGCTAGTCTGAATTATACAGGAAGCATTGTTGCAAAGAAATTTTGCAACTGGGGGTTGTACTGTGTCTGATTGGGATTGAGTTATCGTTCTTCGTAGTAGCCTGTATGGGGCTGTGTTTTGGCTTTGCAGCCAAAACAGTTTGATAGCACAGTGATGTTTTAGCTACTGCTGAACAGTGCCTACACAGCTTCAAGGCTTTCTCCATTTCTCACTCAGCCCAAATAGGCTGGGGGTGGACAAGAGGCTGAGAGAGAGCGCAGCTGGAACAGCTGACCCAAATTGATCAGAGGGATATGCCTTACCATGCAGTGTCACGCTGCATGCTCAGCTATCAGACTGGGGGAGGGGCAGTTGTCCTAGGGGTTGCTGTTGCTCAGGGCCTGGCTGAGCATTGGTCAGATGGTGGTAAGCAGTTGGTTTTGTATCAGTTGTTTTTCTTTGGTTTGGGTTGATTTTCCCCCTTTGCCTATTAAACTGTCTATCTCAACCCACAAGTTTTCTCACTTTTGCCTTCCTGATTCTTCCCTCCATCTCACTGTGGGGGAGCGAACCAAGTGGCTGTGTGGGGCTGAGCTGCCTACTGGCATTAACTCACAACAGGGGTAGGAAAGACCCATGAGCTAATCAGGTCTGTGCAGTTGGTTTGTAACCAGGCTGGTTATCTCTTTTGAGAAGTGAGCTTGCTACTTTCAGCTCAGTCCTCTTCCAGCACTGCTGTGCTGCTTGTTGGGACACAAATGGTATCTTTGGTAGTGCTGGGCTGCCTTATGTGAATGCTCACTTGGAACTAAAGCACTCAGGGGTCTTTGCCCTATCATTACATAGTAAATGAATATCCTGCACACTGGCCAAAATAGTAAATGCTGTTAGGAATTTTCATCCAAAACTCTGGTGGCCTTGGTACTTAACGTGTCTTAGAATTTGTACTGTGTGCACTTACTGAAAGATGAACACAGTTACTAGGAAGCTGAAACTCTAGTGAGTCAGACTTAGAACTGAAGTATGCATGTAGCAATGACTGCTGCCCATGCCTCTGTTCTGGGCTGAGTTAATGATGCTGGTAGTCACTGCAGGGGCCATAGTATGCACAGCAGCAGGCTCTTGCCTTTCCAGCCAAATTTGTTCATATTGCTTGTTCTAGGAACCCAGCTAGGGCTAGAACCAATGCTTTCTGATTCACAGTTTGGGAGAATAGCTGCAGTAGGCTACAGTAGGAGTACGAGATTCATAAGATACGATGTACTTTATATGGAAAAGGGAAACTGGGTTATGGCATGTGTGAAATGAATACATGGGTGAAGGCCTGAGATAAAATATTGAGCAAGAGAATGCAGGCAGGAGAGGAAGGCACCAACAGACCGTAGTAATTTTTTTAATGCTGCCATTCCAATCCTGCAAACTTACTTAGAAGCTCAATATAATACAGTTTTGAGTGTAAAACCTTGGAATATAGAGCTATTTATCTTCAGTTTTTAGGTTATTTGCATTCTTCCTTGTGTGGTAGCATTCACAGATTTCAAAGAATGGCCATTTGAAGGATAAAAAGACTCCAAACATTTTGAGACTCATTACAGAGCTTCAGTTTGAGGAAGACAGCTGATAAACTTCTGAATTGCTGTACATTGAACTAACTCCTTAACTAGAGGTACAATAAAAAGGAGTATGTTTCTGTCTAATAGGAAATTTCAGGAAACAGTTACAGACAAGCTACTAATTTTTTATTAAAATATTATTGTGTGGGCTGAAATTCAGCTGAAAAACTCTTGTTCTGCTCTACAGTATTTTAAATAATTTTATTTGTCTGAAAGTAAGAATTGAGGGTTTTTTATACAACGCACTCTTCCATGCAGCTGTAGTACTAGTAATAGACTTCAGAAATGCATGAAGAGGCTAAGGCAGAAGAGAGGTTGCATAGGCTACACTGAGACAGCAGTATATATAATTACTTGTTTTTCCTTTGCAGGCATTACGAGTAATGGCAAAAATTATGCGGGAATGCTGGTATGCCAATGGAGCTGCTAGGCTAACAGCTTTGCGCATTAAGAAAACATTATCGCAACTTAGTCAACAGGAGGGGATAAAGATGTAATCCTGGATTTGCTACCGAAGAATACTTTAAAAATCCGTATCTGCACCAGAGTGGCGTGTTAAGAAGGTTAATTGTTCTACCTCATTGGGGGAACAGAAGGATATTGCTGCCTTTTAGTACTTCATAGGAACGTCACTTATTAGGATTTTTGTGGACGTGCTAAACAGTTGTGTTGGGTCCTTTCTGTGCACTATGAACCTCTTTCCCAGGTTACTTACAAAATGTTGTGTAGTCTAGTTTTTATTAACCTATAATTTTTTATTTGGAAAGTTGATAGCTGGTCTTAACTTCTCGTTAACTGTGCTAAAAGTAGGAGGTCACTTTAAAAAGTAGAACTGGTTCACTATGTTGTTCTAGAGTGCATTGATGGCTCTTTAAGCAACTTTATTCCTGGACGGTACATTGACTATTCTGAACCACTGTCATGGTTCTTTGATTCAGATGGTGAATGTACTGTTGGAGTATACTTTGCTAGCTATTAAGGTAGTATATCTTTTGGACTCTTACCTTGATTTACAAATTGACCTCATTTGGTTGTGGGAACATAATTTATGCAACTATACTTTATACATGATTACTGGGTTTTTTCCACTTTTTCAAAACATTACATTGCCTTCAAAATAGATTGTATTATACCAGTAAGTGCCGCTTTTGAGTCTTTTAATGCACAACAGTAGGAGCGTACAAAGCCTATGGTACTTTTGGTTTCAAAAACATGAGTTAAAAATCAACTGTTCCTTTGCCTAGCTAAGATCTAATTCACTCATTTCAGCTAGTGAGTACGTAATTTGTGGAATACCTTGAATTTTACCAAAAATCTGACTCTTTAAACCACTGTAGGAGTTTTAAATAGTGTAAGCTCGTTAATTCACTGTCATAATTTGTAATTGTCAAGTTGTGAGTCATAATTATATATAAGATTTTTTTTTTTTTATGAAGTGGTACTTCTAAATTGCTTGAAGTACCTATCTACTTCAGAAAAGTAGCAAGAGGAGTAAGATGTTCTTGAGGGAGACTTTACTCCATTAAGTCAAATATGAAAAGCATATTTTCTGTGCAGTTCTGCACAGGCTTAAGGCTCAAAGAACAATATTTACAATTAAATTAGGTTTAAGTACACCTGTAATTAGGGAGAAGTTATTTGGGCTTTTGTACTAGAAAGTTCAAAGCTGCTTATAAATTTTATGTGCATATATTTTGTCTGTGCCTCACACAGAAAGTGGTGAGCTACAGAAAGTGGTGAGCTGCAGGTCTTTGGATACAAATACCAGAGGATTTCAGCAATCCTCTTCATAGTTACAAGAACAAAGCTTATGGTGGCTTGTGTTGTCATAAGAACACAGGAGATTATGCATGGCTTTAGTCAAGATTTGCCTGAGATTTTAAGGATATCACAAGACTTTTGTAAAGTTGTTTAGAAATTGAATTGTTTCCTGCCCAAATGTACAACTTCTGCAGGGGACTGGGGGAAATAATATGGAAAATTCTCTTTTAAATTCTCTTTAAAAAAACTGCTGTTACCAGGATATGTATTTTTTTAATTGCAGTTTAAGGAAGAGTCTGGTTGACCTTTGGTTTTGTTAATGCCCAAAATATTCAGTAGTATTTCAGTATGTAAATGTGCCCTAACCTCTTACTCTCCCCAACACATCAGTATCCATCCTATCATGCAACACACATGGCAGTCTTAACTCTGCTTCTTTTTCATTCTTCAGCATACAGTCCACTGAGTTTTTCACCAAGCTAGTAGCAGTGGCAGGGTGATTGCTAACAGAAGCCTAGTGAGATCTTCTGTGGTCTGTGATATATGGTAGCTAAAACACTAAGATGGATGGGTCCTAATAATAAAAAGCTATATAGGTGATACAAGCCAAGATAAGACTTAGCATTTTGCTAACTCTTGTGTATTTCCAAATTCTTACTGCTTGCTTGGAGACAGGTTTCAATGGTGTGGGAATTACAGACCTCCACATGCTGAACTGCAAATAATTATTCAGCCACCTTTATGGATGAGTTTACCCACACTGGAAGATGGCATCCAGGAGAAGACTGTCATGCTTATGTTTGTTTGGCATTACCTGACCAGTCAGGCTTATGTGCTTCAGGCCTCTTATCAATCAAAGCTGGATCAAAATTGACTTCATGTAGGTATTTTAAATAAAGTATTCCTTTGTGCAAATGGACAGCTGTGCACCACAGAGTTTTTCAGTTATGACTGTTCTAAAAATGTGATTGAATATAACAAAACTCCCAAGTCTGTCTCCTTGGCATGCCTCTAACAAGTTCTGTGTACCTAGACAAATACTTAAAGAAAACAGCTCAGCATCAAAGTAGAACTTACTATATCTCCATACTAATTTCAAAGGCTTTCTATTTAAACAATTTAACTGTTAAATTTTGAGTTTTTCATAGGCATAACTGGATCTTTACCATAGATACAAACGGTATAGTTCATATTTTAGAATCACCAGGCTACTGGCATGCTTCAGATCTCTATAATAATCTTGATGGTAACATGAGGGAGCTTCCAATATAATTCATCAAGTAATTTCATTAGTGGTTTTTTTTTTAGTGCACCTACAAAAACTTATTACCATAATGTTTAGTTTCCGAAAACATAAGAAGCAGTTCCATTGCTTTCAGAAGAGAATCTACAGCAGCTGAACAGCATCATGGCATACAGCTTATTCAGTCAGCTGTACAGTAGCTTGTTACATCTGTCTCATCTCAACCACCTACTTAGTTTTCATTCTCCTGAATTGCTACCAACTATTCTTACATGGCTCTATTTTTTTTTTTTTTGCTTTGTAATAGAAGCTTGCAAAAACAAAGCACAGGAAGGATGCTCAATACAGTGTGTGACATTAGGAACATTATTTTTGGATGACCTTATTATTCATATTGGAATGCAGAACAGGAAAATTCTGAATAGAGCTATATGTATCCTCAGTTCTAACACCACAACTTCAAGCTTTGTTCTTCTTTTCCATTATATAAACTGAACACCTTTTACAAAGGCTGTGTCTGTATATATTATGTAACTTTAAATGTTACCTGTGTAAGATCATATCTTATATATATGGACACAGGTACACATAAGTATTTTTTAAATTAAGATTGTAATATCACCAGATCTGCTCTTGGAAATCCAGGGGGACCAAAATATTTTAGCATTCAAAATATTAATTTTGTATCATTTCAATTATATACCAAAACAGTTTCTGATGAATACTGATGCAAATGTTTATTGTAAATATTGCATACGTTATACATTCACTTAAGTTTTGTGGGTTTAATCAATTTGACATTTTAGTAGCATTGAAGCCTCAGTTTGGTTTACAGACTTGTCACCAGGTGGATGTGGACATGGAGAATAAGGAGCGTTGGAAACGGTCTGATGCTGAAAAGCCTGAAACGTTGTTTTTGGAATGCTGGAATTCTTCAGGGACCTTCCAACCTTAAAAGCTGGAATTCTGGGATGTTTCTCAAGCTGACTTTCAAGTATGACATACTGTCACCCTCCAGTGGTTCCACTTGTAATCCTAAGAAGGACTTTGTATATAGGTAAAGACGTTGGGATTGACTGTAAGGGGACATGAAGGTGTCAAATGAAATAAGAGGCTGGTTTGTTTTGGGTTTTTTTTCCAGTAATGGTTCTGAGTGTGATTGCCATGAAATTCACCTTTTGGTTAGTTCCTTGTTTATACTGTGCCATTGAAATGATTGCAAGGTGTTAATCATTTTGTGTTTAAAAAAAAACAAACAACAACAAAAACTTCACCATATCAGTTGCTTTAAACTCAAATTACCTCTTAAAAGACCAAGGTACATTTACCTCGTGTATATAATGTTTAATATTTTTCAGAACATTCTCCAGGTTTGCAGTTACACGTTTCTAGAAATATGGGTATTACTAAATCTACAACTTCAGCGGTACTAAATGTATTATCTGGTGCCCCAAAACACTTTAATTTTCTGTATTATATTGTATTAGCAAGTTTGCTGCTTTGTCACTGTAGCACCTGCCCTTACATAGCTGTGTGGATACTGCCTTGTAAATTTTACTTTTTGGATGATTTGAGGATCTTGTACAGATGAGTGTCACTTTTTTAAACCTTACAAAATTGTGCATTTCCTTTACATTTCTGAAAATATGTATTGTATTTGTAGAGTATACATTTCAATGGATTGTAAATAGGACAGTAGAAGAGTGGATGCTTATGTTAAGTGCTAACACTACAGTAGAGAGATTAAAGCAGTGAAAATAAATAACCTTTTTCAAAATGCATGAGTTGTCTTTTGGAGGAAGAAGTTTCAGGTAGGTGTGGGTTTGGGTGTGATGTTCTTACCTGGCAAAATGTGGGTTTACTCTGAATTCCTTTCTTCAGAAGGAATTTTTGCTAGTAGAAAAATGATAAAGGAATTTGCTTAATGCTGAGGCAGTCGATCTTGTGCATGCTACACAGATAATGATAAAGTGCCTGATCTTCCTTGTGTCTTACAACAGTGTTTGAATAAGTACCTTGATGGTGTCTCTGATCTCTTGGACAAAATACCTAATGACAAGGTGTTTTAGATTTTGGCTCAGAAATGACCAGACAGTATTACCAAAAAAGTAATTCTTCCAGCAAACTCTTTTCTCCAAAACTGGAAGCTATAAGGTGTCCAGAGAAAACCAAAGCTAAGTGAAAATGCTGTGTTTCTGCTTAAACTCTTTCACGGTATGTCTGATTATTTGGCTGAGAACATGCCTCTCTCCCATGAGTGGCTAAAGGAAGGCCTCTCCCACTACTGTAAGCAGACAAAATTCAGTAACATCCTGAGTCACCCTCACACTTCTAGCAGAAGAAATATATGGTCTGGAAATAGCTCAGTAATGTTGCTGTCTACCAAGCTTATTTTTCTTAGTCTTCTGTGTTTCATACTTTGAGGAATTGAATTTAACAACTGAAAATACAAATCCATGTACAGCAAACAATTACTACAAGTAATGTCTATGTGAGATGTTTTAAGATCATTTTAGAGGAGATGCTGAATTCAGGTTTCCATGCTAGCTTGGATTACAGGTGAACATAAAGAGTAGCAGACTGGTTGGGGTTTTTTAAAGTGTGGGGCTGTTGAAATAGGTTCTTTTTAATACCCACTGTACTGAAGCAATGAGTGTTTTATGTAGGTGCAGCATAACTAAAGAGTGTATAAACAGACCACTTCTGTGCAACACCAAGTAAGTTTTGCATTTTCCTTTTATCCATTTTTTGTGCAATGGGTACAGTAATTACCAGGTAATTTTAGTATAGTGTAAGGGTGGTCCTGGTAGAAAATAGATTCCTTTTAAATAGGAAATCAAAATTCCAAAGTTCTTACTCGGCGCTCCTACTAGCTTTCTTAATTTATCAAGCTGTGATGTTTTACCTGGTACTAACAGTGGGGAAGTATATAGGCATGGGCACATTTTGTAGGGTTACACTGCAGTGTAACTGTTCCTGACATCTGGTTGACCACATGTGTGGTGGAATGTTGCAGGAGGGCTCTTCCAGCTAGCGACAGGGCCTTGGTCTGTGTCTGTGGAGTTTCATCAGTTAGATCTGTGGAAGGTACACTGGTTTGCTTGCACTGCTTAGAGAATGTTTTTGTGTTGAAATTTGTGTGGTTTTTTGGTTGGGTTTTTTTTTTTATGAGAAACTGAAATCTTACACTGCAAATCCCCTTGCTGATATGATGAACTGCTGCGGTTTATAAGTCTCATAATTCTGGCTTGGAGTTTCTGGATTTGTTCCCAGGTCTTCCAGGTTGGAAAAAAGTGTAGGCACAACATATCCTTTATTTACAGTCAAGTTAATGAAGTGTCCAGTAGTCCCCAGCCTTGAGACTGTGTTCCTTGAAAATAAGATTTAAATCCCTAGTCTGAGATGTACCTGCAGCCATTTTTCCAATTCCCTGTAGCTAAATGTACCTCTTTTGAAGAGAAAAAAGCCAAAGCAAACTGCTGATAGGGTCCCATGCAGAACTGCAATGTTTATTGGTATTAAAATAAGTATATGGAGATAAGAATCAACATTCTTGTGTTTCAAATTAGCTCAGTTTTGAAACTCCATATTGAACATGAAGGAGGAGGAGGGAATATTGCAAGCAATGAAGTTTTACAACATTTTTTCTTTAACTTCTTCAGTCTGTGTTGTCAGTATGTACAGTATGCTCACAGCCTGTTCTTTTAAAATCCAAATCTTCTGGTTCTTTGGAGAAGAGGATTCTCCAGAAGGGAAGGTGGGTGCTTTGCTACCTTTATTGTTGCTGCAGTTGTCTGCAGGAGGCTTGAAGTACAATACTGAGGAAACTCATATAATAAAATTTATCTGAGAAGTTGTTTAGAGATAATCTCAGTGTAACTGTACAAACAGATAACACATTTTGAAGAAACATTGCAGGTAAGTAACCTGTATTTGTTCATCATTCTGCTAGTCTTTGAGTTCTAACGCAAAAGAAAAATGATACAGTTTAGGTTCTTAATGATTTCTTCCTTCGTAATGATATGTTGCTGCAGCCATTTTTCCACTTCCCTGTATATGTCTTGTTGTTCCAAAGATGTTGCATTCTGCAGCTGAAAATACTTTCAAATTGTTTTAAAAAGAAAGAATTTATGCTAAAGGCAGTATATTCAATACACTTTAAATTAGAAACAGTTTCTTTAAATCATTTGAAACTTGGATCGAGTTAAAGAAACTAATATGTGGTTCAATTGATAAATGTTTAAGTACTACTGTTTTTCATGTTACATCACTCATTTTTAGGAGGTGGATGGCATCTTGGCTCTTTTTTTTTATCCAGTGGATCTTCTCTGCTGGGAATAATTACATTAGTATTTTTGTGTTGCATTTTGTGTGTATTTAGTGTTGTAGTATGGAGAAAGGTAATTCCAGTTCTCAGCTTGCTTGCTTGCTTGCTTGCTTCCTTCCCCCCTCTTCTTTATCTAACAAAAATTTCTCCTTGCTAGTATGTGTGTTGAGTCACTCACACTCAGCTTGTTCCCTGTCTCCCCACAGCACCACTTGCATTTCCAGCTCCATGTAAGAAATGGAAGGTTGGGGGGAAGTTGGTTTGTTTTAGTTCATTTGGAAAGGTAATCTTTCTTTGCAATTGCTTGAAGGACCTGTCTTGCTCTTCCTCCAGCCTGGCTCTTGGAGACTTTCTTTATTTATGAGCAACCTCATAGAAGTTTTATCCCAGTAGTAGGTCTCCCTCTCTCTGCAGTCCTACCTTTATTGCTGATCGATTTTGACTGGCATCAGCAGTTGCATTATAATAAAGGACTGTGGCCCTTTGGCATAAATAACAATGCTTTTTTAAAAAAATAAAATGTAATTTTAAAAAATTCTCCCAGTACCAGCTGTTTTTCTCCAGGCCTTTTCAACCCAAAGGAAATGTCAGGCTGCACTTTGCAGCTTCCAAGATTCTAACTGCTTCTTGTACTGTTGAACATTTGGTTGAGAACAGGTAATGTAGTCACTAATTGACACTGCCCTTCATCTGTTTCAGGACCAAAGCTGTTTTCATGTATGACAGCCCTCTAAAAATATGCTATAGTCCCTCAGAGATAGTGATAAAGCAGTGAAACAGGGTTGCTTGGCTGCTTGAAAGTGGGAGTGCCTGTCAGGCTAGAGAGCTTTCCATCCCCTTGGATGCTGGGAGAAGAATTTTCACAGACCATCTGTGATATGGGCTCCTTTCCTTGTGCACCCCTTCACACAGAACACTTCACAGGTGATTGCTTTTGCTTTGGCCCCTTACTGCTTGAAATGTGCAGGATGAAACATCTGGTTTGTGTGCTTGAAGTTTGCAGAATGAAATGTCTCTGTTGGTATGGACTGTGAATCCAGTATCCTTAATGTTCAAAATCACTCTTAGATTCATTTGTATAAAACAATTCAAAACTATACAGTAAAATAGAACAAACTTTAATGCTTTATTTCTTATGTATTAATTTTCTGGTTGAACTAAGTTGCAATTGCAAGATTTCAATGAGTGACTTACAGAAGTAGACTGATGGTTTATGATATCATCCTGGGAAACATCTAAACACTAACTAGATACAATTTCTTTAATTAAATTGATTGAGAGAAAAAGGAAGGAGGGTTACAAGACTAAGAGATCATACAGTGTTACCTTCAGTGAAAGGATCATTAACACCTCATCCCTATTTTAACTGTAAAAAGAACACTGTTCTGATTGACATTCTTAAAATCTATGCTTTAAAGACTACTTTGTTTACAACAACCCTTAAGAAAACCAAAAAGATAGAAAAACAATCAAATCAAAAGACCAGTGATGGCACGTTGAAGTACTAGCTCGTTAGCTTCAATATATATCAACATAAGTTCCTTCAGTGTCGGTCTATTAGACATGCTTAAGGTGGCCGCTGTGCCCTAAGGTAAATATAAAACCTATGAGATACTGTAATCTTTACAGATGTAAATTAGTTTGAGTTTCTCATTTAGAGGTTGATGCAGTCCTGAGTTACAGTAATACCCATGGTGACTGAGCACCTGTAGATTCCACATTTGATCATAAAACCAGGAGATTTAGATGAAATTGTGGGACTTTGGTTTTTCTGCACTCCTGAGGGTTTTAGCTGCATCCACATGCCTTACCTAAGTGGTATTTCAAAAACTAGCTGGTCTGCCCAGGGCATGCAGACATGCACTTGTGAAGCAGCAGTAGTGTTTAAGGAGCTTCCAAGACTTGCTCCTTGTTTTTGATTCCTTTCCTAAGACATAACTGCTCAGGCAGTGCTCTAGTCACGGGGGGGGGTGTATTTTGGTGTGTGTGTTTCCTTTATAGTCTTAAGCACTATTGGAGGGGATTTATATAGGCCAAAGTTCAGGAAGCTGTCATCTCTTGAGATGATCTGTTTACCATGTCTAAGCTGGAGTACAGCAACTTCATAAATGATTAAAGATGTTTTACATATGAATGACTGATTAGGTTATGAAACAGTCCCTCAAATACAGACTTGTGTGTTTTTTCTGGCTCCCTGGCAGCCTCTTTCAAACAGTCTCCCCAGATTAATCCTGACACTTAGGAAGCAGGAGCCACAAGTCCTAGCAGTATTTGTGATCATGGGCCCGAAAGAGGTGGCCAGGCTGAAAGGACATTGGCTCATTCAGTTTCACAAAGGAAATACTGTGAAGAATTGATGGAAGAAATCAAAGCTTATTCTCAGGCAAAGTTGTTCATGCCAGGCCCTACTCAGAGAAATGCATTGGAAATTTTCCATAAAAGCAATAAAA